CCACCACCGACCCTACCGCCCCCTCACACACCCCCCCGCTCATCACCAGCACCCCAAAACCCAGTTGACAATCAAAGCTCACCCAGCGCTTCCCCTTCCTCAAAACAAAGCGCGGCATCGCCATCCTCGTCGCCGTCATCCTGCTCATCATCGGCGGCGGCTTAGCTGGGCTGGCTGCACTGCGCAAGCGCAATGGCGGCGGAAACAGCTCTGCATCGTCGGGGGCCGGGGGTGGTGGTGATGGAGAGGGGGTGATTACGGATGATGCGTGGTTTTATGGGCGGTCGCCGGCGGTTTATCCTTCGCGTGAGTTTCGCTCTCTGATGAGTCCGGCGTGGTGGTGAGGGGGCGCTGACAAGGGGTAGCGAATGTGACGGGTGCGGGGTCGTGGGCGGAGGCGACTGGAAAGGCGAGGGAGTTGGTGGGGAGGATGACGCTTGAGGAGAAGGTGGGTGATCTCTTTCTCGGGGAGATGGGGGTTGTTGGGACTGACGAAAATAGGTCCGTTTGACTGCTGGTGTTAGTACCAACACCAGCTGCCCTGGCTTCCTGCCGGGTATCCCGCGCCTCGGCTTCCCTGGCATGTGCCTGGGCGATGCGGGCCAAGGGCTCCGCGGGACAGACTTTGTCAGTACCTGGCCGAGCGGCATTCATGTGGGTGCCAGCTGGAACAAGGTACTCGCTCGCCAGCGGGGGTCTGGGATGGGCGGCGAGTTCAAGACCAAGGGGGTGAATGTGCTGCTGGGGCCGGTGGTTGGGCCGGCTGGCCGTGTGGTGTTGAATGGCAGGAACTGGGAGGGTAGGGATTACACCGTACCATGTTCATATTGGAGGGTTGCTGACACAAGCAGGCTTCTCGAGCGACCCCTATCTATCAGGGGCTCTGGTCCACGAGACGGTCGCGGCGGTGCAAGCTGCTGGGGTTATTACGAGTACCAAGGTGTGTTTCTTTGATTGGGATATCCAGAACTCGCTAACATCCGCAGCACTTCATCGCCAACGAACAAGAGACAAACCGGAACCCTTCTGGCGATATGCAATCCGTGTCATCAAACATTGACGACAGGACTATGCACGAGTTTTATCTCTGGTAAGCCAGCCCAGCTGTATGTTGTCTGCCTTTCTAACCCTCCAGGCCCTTCCAAGACGCCATCCACGCCGGCAGCGGCAACATCATGTGCTCGTATCAGCGGCTCAACAACTCGTACGGCTGTGCAAACAGCAAATCCCTCAACGGGCTGCTCAAGACCGAGCTTGGTTTCCAAGGCTGGGTTGTTAGTGACTGGGGCGCCCAACATGCGGGAGCAGCCGCGGCCCTGGCAGGCATGGACGTTGCCATGCCCAACGGCAATGCCCTCTGGGGTTCGCATCTGGTAGATGCTGTCAAGAATGGCTCGGTTGCCGAGACCCGCATCGACGACATGGTTATCAGGTATGGCTCTTCAGCTCGTTATCACTTACTTAAACTAACAGCGCAGGACCCTCGCTACTTGGTACCTGATGGGCCAGGACCAGGACTTCCCGGAGCCTGGCGTCGGCATGGCCATGGATCTCACCAAGCCCCACAAAATTGTCGATGCGAGAAACTCGAGCTTCCGCTCGACACTACTCGACGGCGCCGTCGAAGGCCACGTCCTCGTCAAAAACATCCGCAGCGCGCTGCCCCTGAGAGAACCCAAGATGCTGTCCATCTTCGGCTACTCTGCCAAAAACCCCGACCACAACAACCCCACCCCGGCCTTCTCGCCCTGGCTCTTTGGCGCCGAGTCCTTCAACTACACCGAGTTCGGCGGCCCCTTCTTCGGCTACACGGGCGCGTACGGCACAACGACCATCGCCTTCAACGGCACGCTCTACTCGGGCGGCGGCTCGGGCGCGACGTCCCAATCCGCCGTCGTCTCCCCCTTCGACGCGCTCGTCCAGCGCGCCTACGCCGACGGCACCGCCCTCTTCTGGGACTTTGTCAGCGGCGCCCCCTTTGTCAACCCCATGTCGGAGGCCTGCTTGGTGTTTGGCAACGCCTACGCCACCGAGGCCGCCGACCGCCCCGCCGCGCGCGACGACTACACCGACGGGCTGATCAAGCACGTCGCGGACCGCTGCTCAAATACCGTCGTTGTGATTCATAACGCAGGCATCCGGCTGGTGGATCAATTCATCGACCACCCCAACGTCACGGCCCTCATCTTCGCGCACCTCCCCGGCGAGGCCTCCGGGCGCGCCGTCGTCTCGCTTCTATACGGGGAGTCGAACCCGTCCGGGAAACTGCCCTACACCGTCGCGAAAAACGAGACGGACTATGCCGTGCTGGGCCCGGATGTCGCGGAGAGGGGTAGCATGTTTGCGCGGTTCCCGCAGAGCAATTTCACCGAGGGGGTGTTTCTGGACTATCGGCATTTTGATGCGCGGAATGTCACGCCGCGGTTCGAGTTTGGGTTTGGGTTGAGTTATACCTCGTTTGGGTATGGGAACTTGGTCGTGCGGAAGGTGGCTGATCAAAAATTTGATGAGTACCCCACGGGGCCGGTTGTCGAGGGCGGGCAGGAGGATCTGTGGGATGTTTTGGTTGAGGTGGCGGCTGATGTGACGAATACGGGGGGGGTCGATGGGGCGGAGGTTGCGCAGCTGTATGTGGGTATCCCGGCTGAGGGGGCGCCGGTGCGGCAGTTGAGAGGGTTTGAGAAGCCGTTTCTGAATGTGTCGGCTACCGAGACGGTTCGGTTTGGGCTAACGAGGAGGGACTTGAGCGTGTGGGATGTTGTGGCGCAGAAGTGGCGGCTGGTGAAGGGGGAGTATAAGATTGAGGTGGGCGGGAGCAGCAGGGACTTGCCGCTTGTTGGGACGGTTACGATTTGAGGGTATTGGCGATGGGTTGGGGTGTTCAGGGGTTAGGAGGTATGTTTGGGATTGGAGTTGTTTTATTTCGGGGTTTTTATGACAGGACGGATGGCTCGCTGGTACGATATGATGGATATGGCATGAATTATGAAGGATATATGTACGGTTGTAATTACTCGTCAATGCAAATACCCATACTCAGCCGAGGCATATACCCACGTTCGTGGTCCCAACTCCTCTACTTCGCATCGCCCTCAACTCTCGCCGCCACGCCCCGTCTCCTCCGCTTGCAACCCGGCTTGTCCCCAGCCAGCTTCTTAAACGTCTCCACCATGCCATCGTACGCCGGGTGCTTGGAGAAGTCCTCAAACCACACCAGCGACGCGCCATTGCCCGGAAAGACATCCGGCACCCAGCTGAACGGGTCATAAAAGTCCCACAGCGTGATGCCGACGCACGCCTTGACCTTGACGCAGGCCGTCACCACCTTCTGGTAGCACTCCTTCTGCCACTCGAGCTTGGTCTCGTTGACGGGCGTCTTGATGCGCACGTCCAGCTCGGTAAACGCCACCTCCTTGACCAGCGCCGCGTATCCCTCGCTCGTGAGGATGAGGTCCTCGGCGGTCGGGTGGTTGTCGGCGTGTAAATGGGCTTGCATGCCGACGCCGTCGATACGTACGCCGGCGTCCTTCAGCATCTTGACCAGCCGCACCGCGCCCGCCGTCTTGACCGAGCCGGGCCGCTCGATCCCGTAGTCGTTGTAGTACAGCTTGGCGCCCGGGTCCACCTCGGCCGCCGTCTGGAAGGCCAGCTTGATGTACTCCTCGCCGAGCACATTGTAGAAGACGCTCTTGCGGTACGTGCCGTCTTCGTCGAGGGCTTCGTTGACGACGTCCCAGGCGTAGCACTGGCCCTTGTAATAACCGGCCACGGCCTTGATATGCCTCACGATAACCGCTCGAAGCTCCTCGGGCGTCCAGGTGGTCGTCTCAACCCAGGGGGCAAGCTGGCTATGCCAGACGAGCGCATGGCAGCGAAGGAGCTTGCCGGTTCTGTGCGCCAGGTCGGCCACGTAGTCGCCCTCGGTGAAGTTGAAGAGGCGCGGCTGGGGCTCGGCGAAGAGCCATTTCTGACCGTTGGTTGGCGTCGTCTGGCCGAATTCCGAGGGGTCGTTGAGGATGGCGTCGTACTGCGCGTACGACTGCGGGTAGGGGGCTCGCTCACGCTGGCCGGGGGTGTCGGTGGCTGCGCCGAAGTAGAGGAGCCCGGCTTTCTTGGCGAGGTCGTGGAGTTGGGCGGTCGCCGGGACACCGAGGAGGGTAGAGGCGAGGAGGGGTGTTGAGAGTCTCATGATGGGGGGTGGGGGGTGAGAGTGAGGGAGGTGAGGGACGTGGTGAGATCTAGTGTTCTCGGGAAGGCCTGGATTTAAACGCTTCCTCCCCGCACGACGCCAATACCGGGAACCCGGGACAAGACCAACAGGTTCATCATCATATTATTCCTTCCACTTACTTCCCCAGGTTGAAGTGACAGTGATAGCTGCGCCAACCCCAAATTTGGAGTCTCCGCCTTCAGCCGGACCAGTCAACCGGAAGGCCAAGCCCGGTGGCCCCGTCCCGGGCTTGCCAACCCCCGGGTAAATCCTGATGAACGGCTATTTCTTGTGCATGCATCCGGTTCATCGGGTGTAAACAATGTAGCATGGAGAGGTCCGTACCTGCGTTGTAATTTCCCCGCACGAGGCCTTCAGGCCCAGGGTTCACAAACGAGGGGAACGCCAGAACTGGGGGAGGTTGACATCCCGAGTTGTCTGGGGAGATTAAGAATAGCTTTGCAAGAATAAGTGACCCCGCTTCCTTGAGCAAAGAGGTCTGCAGTTCCAACAGCTGAGGGTAGCGCCGAATTAGGAAAGTCACTTACACGCATCCTCGCGTCAGCCGGAGGCGCTCTTAGGTGGGAGAGGCCGTAGCCAGTCATCGTCGGTCACAGTTGTCAAAGGCTAAGCTTCCATATCATACTCCATTAAGCGGGTTGTTGATGCCAATGGGGACATGGGGGCTGTCAATGTTATTACAAGGAGGAATAACAAAAAGGAAAAGGGTTGGGATTGAGCACGATGATCAAAAAGAGAGTCGTTGGTCATGCCCCGGCGGGCGCTTGGTTGGACATACCGCGGATCGAACGCGGGACCGTCTGTAATCAACGAGGCATTGCAAAACAGAAATCATACCACTAGACCATATGCCCGTAGACTCTTGTTGGGCAGGAATGGCTGGGCACTCCATTATCGGAGCGGGGTGGGGTAAGCCGCCGCCGCCCCTGAGTTCCACCCCTGAGTGACACAAAATGCCTCACTTTTCCACCCAAAAATTCCACAAGAAAGCAAACGAAATAAAAGGCCATTCGACGGCCCAGTCTGCAACAAGCAACCCCTGTCTAAACCATTCAAATCCGGACTCGGGTATGGTGTAGCGGCAACATCGTTGACTCTCACTCCTCAGGAGTGACTGCTCTCTCAACAGCCCCGGGTTCGACTCCCGGTATCCGAGTTAGATGTTCAGGGGTGCACAGCATCTTTTTGTTGTTGGATTGGATTCCTGGGTGCGGCAAGGGGGGGTTCATTTTTGAAGTTGCAGATGAGGGGACGACTTGGGAACTCGACCGTTCAAGAATCTTGATGATGTGTAAATGCGACTTTGAAGACATCAACGGACTCTGCGAAAGCCAGAGATAGCAGACTGCGCCGAGGGCGGCTCTCACAGCGTTGGGGAAGCATGTACTTTTCGTGGGAAGGGCACTCAGGGGTAAAGCAAGTTGAACCCGAACATGGGAGAAGAGGGCTCCTCCGGCTCTCAAAGAGCACTCTGCACCCCGTGAACAAACTCGTGTGCTCCCAGAGCCGAGCATCACGTGCAGACTGCAGCTGAAACAGCCCGGGTTACCCCACACCGGAAAAGTCGAATCGCCACCCCCCGTGCCGCCCCTCCGGACGCTTCCCGACTCATGTACCCTCCTTCTGCTCGGTGCTTTCAACAAATCAGCTCACTGGCCGGTTGGCCCAATGGTAGGGCGTTGCTTTCCGGTCTCTGAACACGATTCCTCGTGTTCTCACCGCTGGCAAAGATTCTGGGTTCGATCCCCAGGCTGGTCGATATTTTGGTTCTCTTCCCTTGATAACCAGGGATACACACCATTTTTTTTTTTTTTTTTTACATATGAATAGGTGTAGTATAGCCTTCCAGAAGTGAGCTCTAGATCATTGTTGGCACGTTGAGCATCTCGAGTTCTGCAAACATCTAACTGCCAACACTTGTCCAACCTCGCCCCGCATTTCAGAGTTTTAACTTGGACTCCCGCGTGCTACAACCACGCATTCCCATTCCCTGGAGTGATTCCGTTGCTTACCCCTGAGAGCCAAAAAAAAAATCAATTTCCTTATGACGAACCCCGAGCCACCCGCCCAGCCCTACTCCACCACCACTCCCCACAGACTTCAGTCTTCCTCTCACAGAAACCACCAATCATCAGCGGGTTTAGCTCAGTTGGGAGAGCGTCAGACTGAAGTCAAACTTCGGGAAACTCAAATCTGAAGGTCATGTGTTCGATCCACATAAACCGCAATTCTAGGACTACCCTAGGTCCTTCGCTTTTTGGGAGCTTGTGACGAGTTCAGACCTCTTTTTGGGAACTCCCCTTTTAGCGTGTTCATCAGGGGACGCATGCAATCTTCTTTGTTAGGGGGGAAGCGGTGTGTTGACCCTAACCCTAACCCCTGACTCTTGGTGCTGCTTGAAATGCAATTGCACTTAGACTCTAGTGGTTAGGGGTCGACGAACCGTGATCAAGAACAGTCATTTCTGTCCCTGCGGACTCTAGACCAGTGAGAATGCCATGTGTTATTTTGCAGGGTGAAGATGTGACATCGAGCCAGTTCCAAGCTCGACCCGCCTGGGGATCGAACCCAGAATCTTTGCCAGCGGTGAGCACACGAGGAATCGTGTTCAGAGACCGGAAAGAGGATATATCCCCAATGTCAAGACAGTCCCTCCAGATCAACTTGGACACGAGACTCGTGTTCTGCCAGATCACCTGCGATTGTGTGATACCTCCTGCCTGAGGTCCCTGCCTCAGATTCCTGCATCATCAGGTTGAGCTGCTTGATCAAGAAGGAGCCAGAACAGAAACCTCGAGGACGGAAGGAAGAGTGCGTGGTAGGGCAAAAGATTTGGGCACCCAGAGAACTGTCTTCTGTTTTTGCATCATCGAGTCCGAATTCAGCGCCGCGATAATTGAGAACTTTTCGACCTCTTTTTGTCTACGCAGCCCCTGAATTTACCCTTGACTCGGTAACCACTATCACAACGATACGCAACAATATCTCCCGCACGCACCGTCGAAAACCACATCCAAGCCACCCTCCAGCATCTGCACAACGACGGCTGGGATCTCAAGGAGCTGGATACGCCGAGTGGATTGAGCTTCTCCCTGGCATCATCACTGAGGGCCTGGCGCGGAGGGTTCTTGGTCGTGGCCAGGGGAGGCCGGCGCAGACAGTTCTCGGTCGTGACCAGGGGGTGTCGGCCCGAGCCACGGGTTCCGGTCTCGGTGGCAATGATGAGTTCCTGGACTCTGTCAGCTGTGACTGCCGGGAACAACTGCTGAGCCCTCTGGCTACGACCAAGACCAAGACCCCCGGGCGGTCGAAGCAAGCCAAGCTCGACTCTTGGTTCAAGCCCAAGAACAACACCTCGTCTACTACAGACGACTTAAGACGAGACCTCAGTCCTGCGGCCATCTGCCTTTCTGTCCTTTGCCGACCCTCCGAATAGCTCCTTCCAGCCTGTCCCCGACGCCAACGCCGCACCGTCGTCCAATGGGTTTTGTCTCCCCCAGTCTAGCCAGCCCAGCTAATGGCTGGAGGCTGGTCGACCATATGCTCGGGGCCGCCACCTAATACTGGCGCGACAAAGGCAACGTCCAGCCATTCAAGGACTGGATCACGGCCCAATGTCACCGGGAGCTCTTCAACCTCCTGAAGAAGTGCGCTTGCCCCGAGAGCTAGGCTTGCTGTGTCGACCGCGGCTTCCTCCTCAGTCTCCCCGATCAAAAGATTGGGAACATTTCTGGCTGGTACCCCATTGTTCTTGACGTTTCGGCGGCGACGTCCGCGTTTCTGGGCATGGTGCTGCCCGTGTACTTGGTGTGGTGCTTTTGCCGTCGGTTCGTTTGGTGGTTCTAGAATCTGAACGGCGGAGTCCTTGCTGGTGTTGGATGTCTTTGCTGGAGATGTCTGCGTTTTCTGCGCAAAGCTTCAGGGCAATGGGCGTGGGAAGCTGTTGCTGGGTATTGAACGTTGGGGCATTGTCCTGGCCGGGCGATGCGGCGTTTCTGCGAGCGGTGGACAATTGGTGGCAACCGTTTCCATTTTTCCCGAGAGGTAAAGTTCTCTTCGCTTTCCCTTCTTTCTCTGGCTCACCACACGGGTTCAGCAACACTCGTCTCGCTTAGCGCCAAGACTCGGGCATCTAAACACGTTTTGGCCACTTTCCCGGAGTTAAGTACGGTCTGACCTGTTAAGCACCAGATTGCCTCTCTTCGCCAAAGCATGACAGCCGTTGACATGCGGCTCTGAGCGCTGTCGACAACCATATCGAGAGCTGCCACAACCTTTAAACCACAAGTCTTCTCGACTTTCTCTTGTTCAGTGATCCCACAACTTGTTGGATGATTCGGGAGCAACGATCAGCATCAGTTAACCGCCGTTGACTCGGTCGAGCGCTTCACTGCTTGCTGGTCTGCGCCGAACCACACAAACTGGACTCCGATCCATCCAGACCATGTAGCATCAGTGTGTAGTCCTTCAATTAAATGCCCATGGCAGTGCGTAATCCCCCCCAAGTTCAGATCATTCTCTGTGTTTCTGAGGTGGCAGAGCCTGGAGGCCCTGGAATCGCTGGGCTCGCTCCTTCCCCTTAACCAAGCTCACAACAAGCCACGAGAACCGCTCTCTCCTGCCAACTTAAATTTGGGCATTCTGAGTCCCGCGCGTCAGGCCACAATATTTACCTTACTTGACGCAAATTCGCTCTCCTCTTCCTTTCCTCTTCTCTTTTTTTTCTTCGGCCTTCGTCAACAGCGGTAAGTGCACCTCCCACTACCGCCCGCTCCCTTCATTCCATCATGATACAATCGAGCAGAACTGTTGTAGTCTTGCAGTCGCGGTCTTGCAGATGCAAGTCGCTCATCTCTGACTCTCTTTGGCTTGCGGCCCGATGTCGTCGCTGCTCCCATCACCACTTCCCGAGTCCCCGGCCTCGTCGACGGCCACCATCACTGCACCACTAAATGCTGACATTCTTGTAGATCAACGACGATTTTTCTGCCGTCTCCTTTCTTTTCTTCGTGTAAGTCTCATCCCAGGCATCGTCGCCTATCCTTGTTTCTGCTGGTACCTCTTCGGTTTATTTATTGTTCTGTAACTGACCATAACAGGCAGAAACAAACAGTAAGCCAGACACACACAACCCATACACTGCTCGTTGTATTAACGATGGCAGTATCAAACATGGACCAAGGGCCGCCGCCCCCTTCCGCCCTCGACCAGGTGCTGCAGACGCTGCAGCAGATGCAGCAGCAGCAGGAGCACCGGGCGGAGCTGCTCCGGCAGCTGCAGCAACAACAGCCACAGCCGCAGCAGCAGCAACAGCGGCGGGCCCCCCTCCCGCCACAGCAACAGCAATGACAGCAGCAGCAGTGGCAGCATCGCCCCGGCCGGCAGAGGAGCCTTTATTCGTTCACCTCTGACAACCCGAGGGAGGCTGCCGCTGCTGCTGCTTGGGCCGTACGCACGGCGCTTAGTGTAAGTTTCGCCCCATCTCGCCCTCTACTTGACCCTTGTTCAATACTAACTATATCCGTAGGAGATGTATGGACTGGTAAGCAGTTGTCCATTGGGGAGTTTTTCATGAACTGACGGAATCAAATACAGCCGCTCCCTCCTCCCGGACCTTCGCGCAATGCGCGAAGGCGCGCGCGCCGCGCTGCCGCCCGCGATGCCGCCCGGGCCCTCCCCGCTCCCGCCCCTGCCCCGGCGCAGCTTCCGCTGCCGCCGTTGCCGCCGCCGCCGACCCAGGCCACCACCACCACCCCCAACCCCGCCCCGGAGCCCCGGAATGGGGGAGAAGCCCCCGGCCCTCGCGAGCCCGGAGAGGACGTAAGTTTAGCCCCCTGCTGTCCATTACCTCCAATACTAAGTGTACGGTGCTAACGATGAAGCAGATGGCAATGAACTAGGCTGGTGTTTTTTTTTTTTTTAAGGGGAAGTTTTTTTTCCCTCTCTCCTTTGCTTCGGAGTTTGTTTTTTCTTTCCTTTTTTTTTTCTTTGGAAATTTTTTTTTTTTTCTTTGGAAATTTTTTTTTTTTCTTTTCTTCCTTCCGTACAATACTACCAGATTTGCTCCCATCTTGTTGAAACTGCTTGTCCTAACTCCTGTGAAAGTGAGAAGCCCCACCTGATCTGCTTAGGAAGCTCATTCCGCAAGCGAGTGCTCCGAGAAGCATTTTAACTTTTTTTATTTTGCCATTTTCCCCTGATTTTATAACGGGTTAGTATTCATCCCCTTTATCGGCCTCGTTTCCCACTACTATCTTTACTCCATTCCCTCCTACTATCTTTTCTCGTGCTATCTTTTCTCCTTGTCGTCTCTCTTCTACGACCCCTTTTCTCATCTCTCCCGCCGTCTCCCGTCCCCACTCAAGACCACATCAACCCGGATGGAAGATGCAGCTTGCTAGGTTGGCGTACCAATTCTAAGCCTTGTCTGAGCTTCGTCAGGGAACGTGGAAGAATGTAAGCCACTTCCAAGTGGCGAAACGGAAGCGATCCATCCTCGAGCAGAGTGCCGTCGTCGTCTCGGGCGCTGCTAGAGTCTCTCCTGAACCGGCGATTGGCTTCAGGCCAGTCGAAGCTGCGTGAAACGACGCAACGATGGTGGTCGCGGACGAGGCAGGCACCGCGTAACGCTGAGAGCCGATCCGAGGTGCTTGCAAACTCATCTCCGGCTTGCAGTCTCTCAATGGCGGAATGGAACGCGGGAGACGGCTGGGGCGTCGTTCGACCGGTGGCTTTGACTGGGCTGCGTCAGTGTGAAA